GGCACGCAGAAAACGGATGTGTACGACAGCAAGGCCGCATGAGAGAAACTTCAGGCACACAACGGCATTGTCCATACGCCTACTTCCCGCGCGGCTTGAGCTCAGGGTCTATGCCTTCTCCCATCTGCTACCGAGGCAGCCATTTCTAGATACGTTCTGCTTCACATCAGCGGAAGAGAAAAACTCAATGACTGCTTTCACTGCCCGTGTCCCCGCAGAATTTGAATAGCCGTCCTCGACTCCTCATCTACACGTGGAACCTTGGGACGAAACGAAACAATGCGCCGACAGTCACGCAGGTAGGCTATCATTTCCCACGGCGAAGGAAGATTTCGGCCTGCATCACAGGCGATCCGTTCTCCAATCTTGACCTCATTTTCGGTCGTACCTATCTGACCGGCACGTCATCTCCGACAAAAGCAGCCATACACGAACTGCGTTCCTCCAAGGGCAAACCATTTCAACAACCCTTCAATTCTGAGCCAGCCTCTAATTGGCAGCTCGCTAGCTCCCGTGCCCGACTGTCAACGCCAAACCGTCCGGCCCCACGGCGCCGACTAGCCTCCGGTGTGGAGATGCCTTTTACAAGGCTCGGGATCTCCATCTCGATATCACAGTGGGTAGCACATTATCTATTCGCAACGCGACTCACAGATTCCAAGAACATTTGCTCCCTTTGAACAAAACGATTGGCCTGCTCCAAACCGCAATGACAGGCTTTTCCATTCCTCAACTCGCCAGCGAAGCCTGGCAGACTGGTTTTGTTTGCTGTTGTACAGTATATTGAAGGGGCTTCAAATGTCACACTACCACGTATGGATGATGTACATCTCTTCCGGATTCCGAATTGGTGGCATCCACATGCCGGTCCCCGAATCTCATCTCCAGCATGGGCGAACATTCCAACGAAGTGTCGATCATGTCGAATCGTCAGGCTAACTAGCTTGCGTGCTTGACTATAATCTTCTGGAAAACTCAATCTCTGAGCTTGAGTCGCATATTCGATCCCCTTGCCGTAGTACGCACTAAATGTTGTGCATGCCTAAATGGGTCCTGGATTTCTAATTGCGTTTTGCACAAACAGACCACCACCAAGACATCTAGAGACTGGCTTTATTCTTCTCCCTTTGGTAATCTTTGGTAAAGACGAACAGCAATTGGCATCATCAATCATCAATCAAGGTTTCTAACAGCTGATACATGGCGACTTCTTGGCGCGTGCGAAACTCAAAAGTAATATTACTCGGAAATTTCGTCGCTATGCAAGCTAGTCTCTCTGCGTGGGTCTGTCAACGTGATCATCCAAATCATACGATGCGACATGATTCGCTCGCTGTTGGGGACTTGACGCTGATATCCCGGAATAAACTAATTGCTATCACCGTTGATGTCAGTTGATGGTCCACAGAGGGTGGACAGCGATGCTGGTGGGAATATCTCGAATTTTGGAATATGATTTGCCTCGAACACTGCTGATGAAATGTTACAGCGCAACGTCAGGAAGACGGAGCAAGGCTCTCGCTGATGTACTTACTGGCTGCGAGAAGGAACAACTGGATATGACATCATTGAGGACCATTCACGGCCGACTCTTGGGATTTATTCTCCAGCGCTGTGACTGTCCATTTCGCGTGCGTAGCTGATCCGTCCAACCATGTATCTTCGATCTACAGAGACACATGGCAGACTTTTCTGGAAGAGCTTCTGCGGCGTTCAACTTCAAACGCGTGTATCTTCGCTCAATAACCTGGCCGTGACAACGCTCGTGATATTGAAAGATACCTCGAATTTGCGCCCGTTGTGACGGGCGTTCTCCCAGCAACTGGGTCCGGTGGTAGTTCCTCGTGCAAATTTACCTCACCTCAAGTCATATAGAAGACGATGCCCTCGCCCGTTCTCATCGCTTCTGACTGTTTCATAACGCGCATGTAGAAGGCAAAGGTTTACCCACGACCTTGAGAACCGTTCTTCTTTCCCAGCTGTGATACTTTTCTAGATGACAGATGAACGCAAGTCCGGAAGGAGTCCGTGTGGGTATTCGGGTATGGCTATGTAGAAGGTTTCGTATTATTTGCTCAGTTACCACACAAGCTGTCGCCGGTCATCGTGAGATATTGGCGAAGCTTTTTCAAGGCTCATCGCCAAATCTGAAGGCGTCTCCTCTGACGTAATATTGCACATCGTGAAAGGTGAAGAGCTCGACTGGACAAACAAGCTGCTGCATATTACCCTTTTTCACGTCTGTCATCAGCCTTGACACTTAGGTGTCTTTCTAGATATCTTTATGAACATGTTTATATCCAAGCCAAAGGAGAGCATTCTATGTCACAAGGGGCTTTACCAACCACGACGGCTAAGCTTACAGTACTATGTATCTTCTGAGAGAGGTTGTCTCCAAGGCCCGGGATGAGCGAGTGCCAAATGGCACATGTAGACTTGCCGTGAGCGTGATATCATGGCTTTCATTGCATGTTTCTCGCAATGATATCACATCTGAATTCCTCACCGGCCCTGTTGAGCTCAAATTCCTGCTGAGAGAACCTCGCATTGCCTTACCTACAGGCTGTGCTGTCAACAAATTCGGTGCTCTGTACCCGCGAGAGTAGAAACGCACCTCGGGCGACCCGTGACTCTCCCGCTGTGATGGATCTCCTCGGCAGTTCTTTGCACATTGAATTCTCTGGTGACTTACGACTACTTGGAGATTGGCTAGCCTCAGGTTTGAGTTGGGGGGCGATGCGGTGCTCTCTTGGGTCGATCATATTCAAACTATGGCTGAAGTGTCTTTCTATTTGACAATATCTTGATCTGTTCGGTCTTGCCGCGGACTAGGTAACATGCTTGATGCAAATGTTGGCCTGACGGACTTAAAGAGAGAGGGTGGGATAGATGGCCGAAATGGTAAAGACGGCAAAGACCTTAAGATTGAGGGCTTTTTCTTTCTCCCTGCCAGTCTCGTGTCTTGCTGTAGGCGCAAGCTTTCTCGGGCCACGTTTTAGTATTACGTCCTGATATGGGAACCGTCGCGCTTCCTGTAATATCGAGCATGCGAGTATGAAAGTCATTACGGGTTGAGGCCGTGGAACTCCCCACTACCCCGTTTCTGTGAAGACCCAAGGAGATTTGTGACGTTCTCCAAAAGGACCACACCTAAAAGGGACTCGTACTGATGAACAATAGGCAAGCACTGCGCCTGGCCTTACAAATGTATGCCATCTTGTGGAAGAATGTTCTCTTCCATGAGGAAAAGCCTCTACCTAGTAACAAGTTACACGATCCGAACCTCTCGGAAACAGGATGGCAAGGCAGAACGAGGCAGCCCAGGACGGTGCGTATTGTGAGCGAAACCGAGATGAGGGCGACCCTTTTATTGCTCTTCCGCCTTACCTACCTACCTACCTACCTACGACTTGGACCGAAAGCGGAAGTTGACCGGCGGAGACGGCGAAAAACGACAAACGCATACCGGAGCGGAGAGACGGTAAGAGTCCGGAGAGCGGGAAATTGGGAATTGCGTGATGTGCAATTTCCGGCGATCCCGGGGCGGCCGGCCTGGAAACTTTTCGGAGGCCGATAGGCGGCGGAAGGCGCCGCACCCACTCCCCAGCATACGAGGTCGAGACCTTTTGCATTTGATATTCTAGACTAATAACCAAAGAAACAGCCCACAATAGTCAAAATCTGTCACTGCTCAGTATCTGGGGAAGACTGGGGGTGAGGACCTGGGGCCTTTCAACGGCCAGACCGAACCATCGAGACCAACCTGAACCATTTTCGAGCCAAGAACCCACCCGTCCGGAACAGCACAGCCCGAGTGAGAACAGTGGTTTCTATTCTAGCAGCGTAGGGGCAAACTTGCAAAGCGAACAGCAGGAGAGAAGAACAAAAAAGGGGGGGCTAGCTAGGTCTTTTTTGGACCTTGGGGTGGGCTTTGGCGACTTTCTGTATCACGATGATACGGCGACGGGGTTTCAGACCCGGATGAGACCCCTTGCTCTGAGGCGCGCCGCAGGGCTTTGGCTGAGGAGTGACCTAGCGATGCAACGACGGAAAATCAGTAGCACCGTTAAGCGTTTCCTTATCTAGGTCCTCGAAGACGACTAAAAAACAGCACCTAGGTAGTCACGTCTTTCACCTGCCTAGAAGGCCTGCCAACGTCTTCGGCCCGTCTACTCGGTCAAAGACCAATTATTCAGTGTGGCAAGGGACTCGAGCACACGCCGTAGACGTCATGAAGGCAGCTACAAGTATCAAGGGTGCTCAGTGCTCACTCCTCGCTCGTGCTGAAGCCTGTCATTTGTGAAGAAGGGAGCAAATGGTCTTAGTGCAGGGATAGCAACAGCGCGCTTAGCATTGATGCGTCAAGGTACTATAGGTAGGCACAGGAAGATAAGGTAGGCGAAAACTCAAAGAGACAGAAGAGAAGGAGCACATGATCCATGGGAACTGGGGGGAGAGTTTCCGTATCCTTTTGGATGGTCAGCACGGACGACGCTCATGCCATGCGACTCGATACGTGTATTGGAAGTCTTGGGAGGTTGGCCCCCGTTGGTAGTTGCCCGTTGCCGCGTGAAAGTGGTCCGGCACGGAGACGGCGGAAAGTGGAAGAGAAAAAGAAAAGTGGAGATACAGGACAGGCGAGCAAAGTGAGTGGATGATGGCGAGTGCAAGGTGAAGGCCCGGTGTGAGATGTGCCTGTGCTGGCAGGCCGATCGACCCTTCGCGGTGCTTCTACGGCTGGACGGGAAGGAAAGAGAGAGGCACAGAGAATAGATTTGGGAGGGAAGGTGGGACGCATGACATAATCGGGCTGAGGGATGTGCAGCGCTACGGCATGACCCTTGTTGGCCTCAGGCATCAAAGGCTCCAGGAAAGCTTGCAGGCCCCGAGGACAGTCCCCATTCGTCTCCGCAGGTTCCGGATAAGTCACTCACCACCCGCCGGCACACGCAATCGCCCGCGAAACCCCCGTCCATTGAGACAGCCCAGTCACCTGTCCTGCCCTGTGTCGTCCCGGGTCCGTCCCCTTAGCGCGTCCCAAGCTGTCCCCGGTTGCCCCTCTCTGAGGTGAGTCTCTCTCCCCCGAGCAGTGGGCACCCACGCACCCAGCAGACTAACGCCACTTGCAGCACCTGATCTCCATCTATTTACTGGGTAAAGGCCCGTACCACTGGGCTGCGTCAGCGCAACCTGCCCTGCGTACCGTGGCTACGAAGTGACCGACACACGCTACCACTCTGCCTGCTGCTGCTCAGGTCCCTTTTTACTCCACCTTAGCCCATTGACACGGCACTCATGTCATTGCACCTCTCCTCCCACTCCAACTTCAAAACCTAAACCTCCCTTCTCCTTACTGTACCTATCGACCAAATTCGACCTTACTCTCTGTCGAAACAAAATACTCCATCACCAAACAGACCCAATCGACACATCCCCCCATATCAACAAAACAGCCAATAAACAGATTGAACGATACAGACCTCGTCAAGATGTTGTTGAAATCCCTCGCCGCTGCCGGCCTGGCGATTACGGCCACGCAAGCCTTCGTCATCGTCCCCGAGATCTCCGAAGCCGACAACGAAATCGTCAAAACCCTCCCCTTCGTGGAGGCTTCCTCAGATGTAGGCCTTGCGAGCCACCGCGTTAAGGTCGACTGCCCCGGCTGCCCCCTGACGATGCGTCAACACGATGGTCGCTACCACACAATGACGGACCTCGACAACCACCTCGAGCTCACCTTCTCCATCGAAACCGACACTACCGGAGTCGACCATCTCCTCGTCAACGACTTTGAGCTCTACCCCAAGCCTGCCTCGTGGTACAAGGCTCTCCGTGCTCCTCAGATTCCCGACTTCGCGGAGGCCGCTACCAAGCACCCTCAGAACGCCGACCCCAACACCCCTCAGCTTGGTTATAGCCTGGGCGTCCGCCCCATCGCCAAGGATACCGAGCAGGAGCTTGAGCTCGTCGAGGTGGACCTCCAAATCATCGAGGTCGGAAACAGCTTCGTCGCCGACGTCCCCAATGTCCAGGTCAAGCTCATCAAGTCCCCTACTGGAAGCCTCATGATCGGCAATGTCGAGCAAACCGAAACCTCCGTCCCGTCCCACAAGGAAGAGGAGGACCACGAGCCACCTGCCGAGGACTGCACCACCTTCTACTGCAGATGGCGCGCCGCCATCCTGAGAAACATGCGTGGCATGAAGTGTGGAGGCCGCAAGCACGGAAGCATGCGCGGACAGCACCGTCACGGACACCACTCTCACAACGCCGGCCAGATTAGACACCACCACCACACCTGGGGTCAGCTGGCTAAGAACATCACCTCCCATATCTTGCTCCCGATCCTCATCGGCATTGTTGCTGGCGTCAGTGTTAGCATGTAAGTCATCCATTTTCCCCCGTACCCCCCGGTCGCGTGACCCCCTTTCTTACGGATCCACTAACACGATATTTCAGCATTGGCATGATGGTTGGTACCTTCGTTGTCTGCCTCTGGCGCGTCTTTGTCCGCCGCCAGGCCCCCTTCGCTCGCCGTCACTGCCGTCGCCGTGCCCGCAGAAACACGCATCGCGAGGCCGGTGCCGTCGAGGAGAAGTCCGAACTCATGGCCGAGTCCGCCGACCTTCCTCCTTACAAGGACGACGAGGAGGAAGTTCCCAAGACCGAAACCGCTCAGGTCTAGGAGAGCGACATCATATTGGAACTGAACTTCAACTTGAAAACCAACTCACGTGCGCAACTGATGATACCACTTTTCCTTTTACTCCTTATCGTTGCTTTACAGAAAAAATAACCAACACAAGAAATCACGTACCGAACCATCAAAAATTGGACAAGAGAGGAAATCACACATCTCATAAAGAAGCGGCGTTTTTGTTTTTACTTTGACTTGTTTTTTAGGAACGGGATTGGCAAAAATAGGAATCTTCTCCCACCACGCATCGAGGCGTCTCACAGGATGCTTTTGATGTGCTCCGTTTGGAGGAGGATCGTGTGCCGGACGTCTACACATACACTCTCATTTTCCCACCAAGCGTTATTGTTATCAAATGGACGCCATGATAGCTGTAAAGGAAAGCATTGGGGACCCGAAATTGTATTCATAGGCTTCACAAAAAACCTACATTCCTTGAATTGATTCCTCTAAGCGAGCTATGTTGGTGATACTTCTTCGTCGTGATCCTTTTTACCCGGCTTCCACAAGGAAGCTTAAATGTTGCCATGAGGCTATGTGATGTAAACCCCCTTTCTCCTTACACCAGTCCCACGCTACACCACACGCCCTTTTGAAGTCCAAGCTCTTGAGGAACACCTCTTTTCCGTCGTCGAGGAGCGGGAACATCTCGTCCCGAGGTAACGCATGATGGAGGCTGGGAGTGAGTTGCCATGGGATGGAAAACTCTTTCGGGAGTGTCTGTTTGTGTGTTCTCGGGACGTTGGCGTCTGCAAGTATCTTCCGGTCTTCCCGGTGCTGACCATGACTATCACTAGCATCTTTATACCGGTTATTAATGCCACTTCGACAGGAGGACCTTCCTTCTCACTCAGGATAGATATTTAAATGTCTCCACGTGGGCTAGGCTGGGCTGGAGGAGAGTCCGATGGAAGAGTCACGGCAGTCTGTATCGAAGATTGCTCGCCGTAGAAGGCTTCTTTTTGACGCGGGATGCGGGATGCGGGAATGGGAGTTAGAGGGGGTCATATGAGGACTCCTTCTCTTTGCCATTCACTGAGATGGTGCAACAGTCATCAGAAGAGAATGGGGCACAAGTTATGTGAGGTGAGTTCACCTCCTTTGGGCACAACAGCGCAAAAGGTTCGCATTTGATGGCTGCTTCTGAACTGTGTCGAACCTGGTGGTGATCGAGAACAAGGGGTGTCATGTCCTCGCTAGGTATAGTTGGCTGCCCATATAGTCATCGCAGTCTCTAATCACGGCTGGCCAACGCCATCTCCGACGTGTGGGCGGACTTATACGAGAAACAGGCTTTCAGTAGGATTTACGCTTGCATGCGGATGGTTTACACACGCGTCTTTATAATCTTTCTCCGCCCTACGGAACCCAGAGACGAACATTGCAGCATGGCCAAGGCATAAGCGGTGCGTGAGAAGGTTAATTTGACTTCTTGGATTGTTCCGTCAGTCTATGTCTTTTGTCGTCCAAATCTGTCCTTCCTGGACACGTGGATACGAGATTCGTGGTTCAGGCCACCGCCAATCTCATGGTCCGCCACATGTGTCAGGGAACGGTGCTCAGAATATTATGCCTCTCAGGAGAGCGCGAGAGCAAAAGGTATACAGTAAGAAAGTGAGAAGAAAGTAATAACGCCCCCCATCCCAAGCAATTAGTCCCTGTTACAGTCGTGCTCTACCCCCCTCAGAAAGCTAGCAATGAGTCCTGAGGCCTGATGGAGTAGTAGATGGTCAAGTAGGCGCCCTTCTTCTCGGAATAGGCGAATGAGATGTACGAGTGCGTGCCTGTGGTCTTGCTCAGGTCTGAACGCGGGCTGTTTATATAAGTTAGTCTTCAATGTATGAGAGACAGGGGCACAGAATCCACTTACAAGCAACGAGCCATGTCGTCTTGGTACTTCTCAGCGACAGCCCAGCCCCTGGAACGGAAGGCCTGAGCCAGATTTGCTGAGATGACCGCGTCGCTGTCGGCGTACTGCCACAGCGGCACGTACGCCTTCACCTCGGGCCACTTCGCGCCAGGCTTGAGCTCGAAGCCGTAGCAGATGCCCTTGTGAAGGGTGTTCACCATCTTCGGCTCCTTGTTCCAATCATCATCGTGAGGCTCTGCCTCGTTGTGAAGCAGGTGCCAAATGCCTTTCAGGATCTCGAGGCCCTTCAGCGTCGCCTCGTCCTTGATTTGCCCGCCGAGAGTTACCACATTGCGGACGACATTAAAGGCGTTTGACCGGGTGCGAGCATACACCTTGACGCGGGCTCCTTCGGCAGGGTCAATACAATCAAGGGCGATCATCTCTACCGGAATCGCAAATGGGCAATTCTTGAAGTACTCCTCCGTAGCGTTGGCAGACTGGGAAAGGTCGGAGCCCCGCGGTGACAAAGTGCGGATCGCGTCAAACGTGATGTCTTCCGTCGAGGCACCCGTTGCGATATGCTTGAGGACTGGGAAGAAGTATGCCTTGAAAACAGCCTTGGCGCCATCCAGATCAAAGGCAAGGAAGGACGTTGGCGCACGAGTTCCCTTTGGAAGTCTGGAGAGCGCCGTCTCTGACTCCGCCTCCGTCAGGAATAGAGCTGACATGAACTGCTCAAACCACCGCGTGTCCACGCCATGAGAAACCATACGCAAAGCAGGAAGGACTGCAGGAATGATCTTCTGCGCAAATGGGTCTGATGCTGAGCCGCCATGTCGACCCATGGGCTCGAATGAGAAGCGAATCGAAGAGGAGCCCGAGTCGGTGATGTTCCATGATGGCTCGAAAGGAGAGCCGTCGGCGGTGAGTAGAGGTTTGGTCGGGGCCGTGGCCGGATGAGGACCCATGCACGGGACGATGATCTCCGAGAGAAGCTGGAGGTGGGCGGCACGCTGAGCCGGCGTGTAAGAGCCAGCAGCCTGCATGAAAGCATCCAGAGTCTCGGCACAACGAACATTCCAAAAGTCTTGGTCGGGCTTGTGAATATAGATGGAGCCTTGTGCCGGGAGGCATAAGTCCTTTTCCTGTTTGGCCATGGCCCGAGGGGACATGACTTCGGACTGACTAAAGGTCATGGGTGACCTCGGTGACCTCAGGGCTCTGGGAGAGAGCTGCAGAGGGAAGGGTGACCTGGGAGTTGCCGTGTAAGCGGACGCTGCCATAGTGGGAGCCATTGTTGTGATAAACTGATGCAGAGATTGGTATTAGAGAAGTGTTTGCGAGATGAGGTTGTTCTTCGGTAACCCAAAACCAGAAAATGGGAAGACCGCCCAGGACATTATATCTCTGGTGAGGTACTTCCAACCCATCAAAGCACCACACTCAGCTGCGATTACCTCAATCGGCTCTCCCAAGGCTGATCCTGAAACCGTCTGTCATCGCGCAGGTGGCTGGGTCGTTACGGTCTGCCGGTGCTCTGCAGGGACGACGGTAGTCCAAGACTTTGGTGAAGACAGGATGGGCCAACGTATGGACCCTGCCGAGGGCGTGGCAGTCCGGGGACGCATGGCTGCCAGTCGCAAGTCAACTCGGTCTTTGCAGTGAGGCCAGCCGTCTGGTAAGGTCGACGGGGAGGTTGTCCGCTGTCAAGAGCAAGTGAGTCAAAGGGTGTTCCCAGGCCGCCGGCCAGTTGCATTGAGTATACGGACACTCTCTCGTGGTCCCCCCTCTGCCGGACTGCCATATTGGGCAACCAAACGAGAGGAACCCACTCAAAATCCGGTGGTGTGGTCCGGAGGCGTCAATCGGGACGTGAACTTGTCCATGACTATTTTGCGAGGAGCGAACGGGCCTCTGACGGGCCCGCGTCTCTTGGAGATATTTCGCATTCGTTCTTCAGCCGGATAGGGTGTCTTTTCTGGCGTCACCACCGAGAGAAAAGTGTCTAAAGATGGCAGTATGTGTTTTGCGACGAAGTACTCCGTACGCGGATGGAAATTATGGAACACAACAAAGGCACTGTCAAACCAAATCAGTCAAAATGCAAGCTGCGGACTGCGGCTGCACATGGTAACTTACAACTACATGCTGGCCTTACCTCTGCGGAAAGCACAGCTGCTGTCATAACCGGCAGAACCCAAGGCCAAGGCCGCAGTGTCAGTGTGTCGGTGAGGCGCAGATGGGAGAGAAACACCGTTTAACGCCGTCCTACGCAGTAGCAGCTTGGTGTGGTCTTGGCAGGTACCAGACATCGAGATAGACTCTCGAGCTTTGATCGCATCTTTCCTTCTTGAGAAAGTAGGCTAAGAAATCTTACCGGACACCCGGAGGATGGAAAACAAATTGGAAGATGCTTTTCGAGACGAGGGGTGTGTGAGAAGCTTCGAAACCTGGCTTCTCTGGAAGGGTGGAAGATGAGATGAAAGGTCCGCCCTCGGGCATCTACCTACAGAGAAGGACATGGCTAGAGAAAGTCTGGACTTTAGCTTCCGCAGAGGGGCGCACTAGCCGAGGTGATCGGTTTAACCTGCAAAAGAATGCAGCCTGGTGACAGCTTTTGGGAGACTGATGCGGGAAGAACTCAATGCGGAAGATACAGCTGTGGTTGGGGATGACCGGTGGTCTCGAATCCGGGAAAGCAAGCGAAAGGTTGCATCCAATGCCCATCGAGCAGCCGGATTGCCATCTTGGAAACTGCTAAATTGTATTGATGGGTTACGGGGACTTGCTTCGACCGGCCGGATTTTCGTGGAATGCCAGTTTTACATCTTCGCAAAAACTATTTGCGCAGATAAAATGGATCGTTCGGCTTATTTCAACTACAGAAATCTAATCCACTACGACCTGCCAACTGACTCTTTCCGCGTGGCTCCATGATCAGCGGAAGCTGATATCTGGAAAGAAGCTGCTAGGCCGGTTCGTTGGCTTGTGCATGGAGACCAGTGGCCATGGGAGAATAAGAAACGTGGGCGCACTTGCACTGCCACGGCCCGAGGCCGCGCGGGAGACAAGGGAGAGTAAGAGCCACATCTGCTCGAAGCTATCAAATCGGAAATCCCTTGTGATCCTCTGGTCTTGTCAATCGTCTCAATCTGAAGGCCAGGGTGTCTTCGCATGTTTCCTGTCCTCATACCCGTGAGGATATAGCAAGGTCGAATGCCTCATTGAGATAAGAAAACAGACTTTGCGGAGGAGATGTGATGTGTCGTTCATGGTAGCGAAGTTATCTTTGTAGAGTCGCCTGGCCGTAAGAAGGATTTCAAATCAAGCGCTCGGCTGAGTTAAATTCATTGAATCTGACTGCCGAGAAAGAGTCGAGCAGTTCATGGCCGAGGTCTTCTACAGAACAGCAGCGCGCCAGCTTACGCTCCAAGGATATCGTCTGCGGGCTCGGCTGTGACATCACGCCGCATCGCTGTCTTCTGTGCCTGGGTAGGAGGAACGCCCAGAATACTAAGATAGAAGGCTTCCATGCTATGACTTGTCTGTGGCTGTATCGTCTCATGCTTACCGTGGTCCTCCTTCTATGGAAGCAGATAAGCGGGCTGTGGGCTGAGGAAGAACTCGAATGGGCAGAGTGCTGCGGCTTGAAGATTTCATGATGCACCGAAGTACAGACCAACCGTCCGAGCTTGCGTCAAAGATGATGTTCTGGTGGAGTGGGGGTTGTTGAAAGGGATACTGGCATCCTGCTGACTTACTTAGGTAATCGAATGTCAATCCCGATGCCATGTGGCCGTTGAATTCTCTCTCCTTCAAAAGAACCCTCCTTCCCGACCATCAGCGACCGTTCCGAGGAACCCCCCGGGCCGCATGTTATATATTTAAACATGCCCGAAAATATTCATGTTAGCCTGGCACCACCTAGATGCTGTCTTTGTCCCGGATGCTGGACAGCTGTGAGAAAGCATGTGGTCTGGATGTCTCATTATATTGGCGCCATGACATGCAGCCTTAATTTGCATTCCATCTCAAGCGTTTTTCGTGTATTCGATCTCAGTGCTATGTCCGGTCCTCAGTTATCATATCGACCCGGTCCCATTCAGTCCTTCAAACAGTAGAACAACGATGTGAAGCGAGAGGTTCAAATTTTCATCGCTGAACGGCGGCACGATATTCCAAGGTGTAAATGTCGGCAACGTTGCAGCTGAGAAATCCAAAAACTGCAGCTTAGCTGGAGGTTGTCTTACCATTGAAGTCTTAACAACGGGCTTGAATTCCCGGGTGATTGATGAGTTGCTCTGGGCTCAACTACACGTCAATCAGAATGTATTTGATCTGGATCTGTGGTATTTGGCCTGGGATACCGAGACAGTCACGCCGCCTCCTTGTCATCTCAGATCTAAACTTGCGTGCTATACCGTGCATACCTGCCCCTTCTCCCTTATACCAGGCTGAGAACTGATCATGATCGTTACCTAGTGAATAAGCCCCGTAATACCACCTGCGTGAAACTTATGATTCACTCGAATGCCTAATCACACTACACATATCCATCGCAACCATTCCTCATGGTCTCTTCTATTCCTTTTGCTTGAACATGTAGACCCCAAGTTTCCATCGCTTGTGCAGCGAGGACATTCATGTTCCTTTCGAGTCCTCTAGACGATCCCGTCCATACATGATGCCTTCTTTCTGGCTTACAGTCTTCTTTGCCATCAATTATGTCTTCAACGGTGTGATCGGTCAAGGAACTGCGTACAATGTTCCGCCCATGGCGTATCAGGGATGTGGTATGCTATACAACACCCTCGTGATAATGGTAGAACGAAACGGGACCGATAATGGGCCGCAGGTTTGCCAAAATCTATGTATAGCCAATAACAGGGAGTTCGCTCTTCTTCGCGATACATATTGCCTCTGCTCCTTACCCGGAGCCGACGTCAGATTCGTCGACTCGGTTGGTGTTGTTGACAGCAACTGCAACTACATCTGCGGCGAGACTCCGCCCACAGGTTCTCCTCCTGCAAATTGTGGGGGAAACACGGGTAATCAGCTCTTATACTCTGTATATGGCACGAGAGCGGTGCCTGTCGGCTTGTTTGCTGGTACGACGACTTCTACGACCTCTACCTCGTCTTCATCGTCCTCTTCGTCGACTTCGTTCTCCAACGTCACTACCTCATCTACCTCATCGACTTCATCCTCTTCGTCTACCTCATCGTCATCAACATCATCCTCAACAGACTCTACCTCGTCTACCTCGTCCTCGTCTACTTCATCGGCATCCACCACCACAACCTCATCACCCACATCTTCCCCTTCGTCCTCATCTATCTCTATCACGTCAAGCTCATCCGACACTTCCACGTCTAGTACCACGTCTACCTCATCTTCATCCTTTTCGTCAACATCCGACACTTCTTCTTCTTTAACACCAACCTCATCATCGTCTTCCTCGTCCTCGACAGATGCCACCTCTGTAACTTCTACCTCGCCTACGTCTTCCTCGACAGCATCTTCGACATCTCTCTCCTCTACTTCTTCCACGTCAACATCGGCTCCATCGCTGACTTCATCTTCATCAACATCCACCTTCTCCTCCTCCAGTACTACTTCTTTAGGCACCTTATCTACAAGTTCGCTTAGCAGCACCTCATCTACCAGCACTGCTACGTCAAGTTTGTCAACAAGTAATTCGGCAACAACGCCTGTAGTCTCAAACACCATCTCAGGAACATCTAGCACCAGTGGCTCTTCTACTAGTCCTGCAACAACTAGCTCTGTCTCAAGCAGCGCATCAGGAAGCCTTTCAACTTCGACTTCCACCTCTTCAACCCTATCATCATCTCTGAGCACTAACTCGTTGTCGACAAGTCAGTCCTCGACAACCAGTGCCTCCACGAGTAGCCAAACCACCAGTTCCATCAGCACCCCGAGTGCAACTGCAACAAGTTCCTCATCTGGCTCAACTGGGTCTCAGACACAATCGGACATCACTAGCACCTCGTCCTCCTCAGTATCGTCACCAACCGCAAGCCCATCTACAACAAGCTCTCCAGTTCTCGTTGGGCCCCCCTTTCTTCTTACGGTCTTGACGTCGTCTACCTCTACGACTACCGTTTGAGATTTGGCTCGGCTCTCCATCAGGAAGCAGAGCAAGCTAGTTGGTGACATTTATTGTCGTGTACTTTTACGGAAGCGACTATCCTAAGACAAAACCTTTATCTGATGCAATAAGAAACAGAAGGGCTGTTCGGTGTTCCTGGACTGGGAACATTCGACAAACATCCGTGAGGTTCGGCGTGTCATTCGTGTTGAATTCCAAAAGCCGGGTGTCACCAGTTATGAGGGAAACTTCACGAAATCCCTCGAAATAGTATTAGAAGTATAACTGAAAATAGTCAAGTATTGACTTCCTCAACATAATCAAGAGAATAAATCAAAGGCAAGAAACTCCTCTTTCAAACACAAAACTTGCATACCAGCCCACCCTGACTTTACCACCAACAGAAGATGAGGGCAGAGGCGGTGACCTGTCCAAAGAAGCTGCTGGATCCTGTCATCATGGGAAGCCATTGTCATTTGTGTTCTCTTCCTCTAAATCATCAGGATCTTGATCAGACATTGTCTCAACAGCAAGGTGTGGACATCCTGCTCTTCGGTCTGTTGGCTGACTAAATCCCGCATGTGGGCCGTCTTACACTTTTGCCCTTACTAGCCCAAGCGAATCCGCACATCGTGGGTACATATTTGGCTACTTCGCCCCGATGACAACAAGCATCTGTAGTGTAGTGGTTATCATCCTTGCCTTCCATTCGCTTCCGATTGAATAGCAAGGGACCCGATTTCGATTATCGGCGGATGCAATCTCAACCACACTTCTCTTTTGCCTCGGGAGGCTTTACTTTTGTCTCGCAGCTTAGGTCTGTAGAGATAACTAAACAACCAGGTTCATCATCTCATTTCCCATGCAGTCTACATCTCTGTTCAAAGTGACAGTGAAGGGTCTCCCAAAGTTAATTTCTCTATCCTCTTACTCCATGTTTAGGACTTCTGCCATGACTACCAAGCCTTTCTGCGTGATGCCTACTTTCCATTCTCGTAAACTGACACCTCCGTTCACGTTTCTGCTTTTTCACCCCTCACAAAATTCACATCGGCCTTTGTGCATGAATGCATGCGCCCCTGTTCTCATTACAAGGTAACGCCGCCGCTATCGACGCCATACTACTATCTGCTGTGGCCAAGATGGACTCAGGCAGAGCTGGAGATGTGTCTTTCGTCTTAAACGCTAGGTTGACATCAATCCCCCTCATTACTCAAAAGAGCAGGCTCAAAGCGGCGTTATTTTGGTACATCCCTCCTACTCGGCGTCTATAATCCTGCCTTTAACCTCACTTGTCTCTCGATACTCCGTCCAAACTGTAAATAATCAAAGTTCTTCGCCGCCCCAAGTGATGAGATTGATCCTCAATATGTACCTATCATCAGTCCCTGGAGGGTACTTGAGGTGCGTGTAGTGATTTAGTGTGGCTTGTGTATGTGAGGATAACAAAAGTCTTCGCCGATCACATATCCCCCTGTCACCCGAACAATCACCTTCTGGACTTATCTTCGCAAACTTCAATGACCAAGACATCAGGATCAGCGCCTTTTGAAAGTCAAAAGAACTGGAGGCGACGCGTGAGTCGTGGTCATGCCCTCGAGGTTCAGCCCCTCAATAAAAGGCTGACGGGAACCAAGCTCGTGTTCCCTCAACTCATCTCCCCAGGATTCAAGAGATAGCATACCCAAGGTGCCCTAGACACTCCCGAGAAGTTCGCAAGTTCAGCTTCGTCCCTCTTGTGTCTCAAAGCGTGTGGGCTCCTCTAGTCGGATATATAGGTCTCGCTTCCTTGAACGGTACTAGACTCGTTGACGTTGGCTACAACCATTCCAAATCGGGAGAGGAGTGGCAACACGTCTCTCAAAAGATCCAGGAAAGAATATACACAGTCATAACTTAGACGTGCGAGCTGACTGCCCTACCACTTGAACTTTTATAATTTAGTCGTCCCAAATCGCAAGTCCTATTTGCTTAAACGCATTTACAAAACTCCTCAACCCCTTCTCTCTAGTAAGCAATGCTTCTTATAAAAGCAACCATATACAACGGATCAAGGTAACGGTGGTCTGCCAAGCCCACGATCTGCCTCATGAAGTTGATTTCAACTTGGCTTTGCTGAGTAAAACTCTGGCAGTAACAAGCCGTCAACATAATGGGATAGGTTTTTGCGATAGAACCAACTCAACTTGGAGCACTCTATACGAACGAACCCTACCTCAGTACTCCATCTAGGTCAAGGAAACACATATCCTTGAATCAAATAATTTACTTCTTCCTAATCAGGCAGAAATTGAAATATCAGTAAGCCTCGAAAGGTCCCGAATCGAGACCCTGAAAAAATCCATGCCTGGATCCTTTAACAGGAGATACAGCAGTCGAGGCCCTCAAGCGGATTTCGGGCTCCTACGACTTCCCGTCAAACCATCTCCTCCTTGGCTTGCTGGGAGGAGAAGAACCCACGGAGGTATATCCTAGCTCAATGGACCGCAAAGAAGATTATAGCGCGTCCAGTCCTCGCCTCGGCAATGTGGGATGCCGAGACCAGGAATCAGGAGCCTGTCTACATGACTAGCTATGCAGGACCGGTACCTTATGGACAGTCCATGACCAGAACACTCTGGTCTTTTGAAGTTTCCTAGAAGGAGGCAGCTGACTGCTATAAGATTCCTTTCGATCTGAGGAACCTAGCGCAAGATTGGCTCGGTACTCGGCCAGTCAGAGAAGTATGAGAGAAGAGAAGTCAGGAAGAAGAGACAACGACACTTTTTGTCCATCAAACCCTCTCCTCGGCGTTGCTAATCCAGTCCAGTGAATCCGTCTTGACGAGACTGCCAATGCATTCGATGGCACACACTTAAGAGCCCATGTGAGACCAAGCTTCAGGGTGGAACGGAAAAAACGATGACCATGCAGCCGAGCAAAGTTTCCCGGTCCTCCCGTGTCCTCCTTACTGGAAAGGGAATGTGGAGAAGGCTCTCGTCGCCGAAATGTAGTCAAACCTCGGAAGTGCGTCCAGCAGCGGACTTGTACTCCCCCCACCCCGTCCGGAAGGTCGGGCGCGGGTTCGCGTTCCCACCCCCACAATCCCGGAGCAGCATCCGGGAACGGGTTGGACGGGCTGGGCCAGGAATTAAGCTGCGCCAAGCCGTCAGCCGTTGTGTGTTTCCCTTGCCCACAATCCCTCTCCTATCAGCCGGGATTTTCAGCTGTACGCCCCCTTGACCGCAAAGCAGTTGGAAAATGAAAAGTCTTTCTCATTTTCATCCAATGAAAGCAAGCTCTGAGTAGTTGTCGAAGAAGGACGTGCTGACAGCCTTTGAGAAGGCTTAGAGCAACCTTACCCCGCGACATTAGGGCCGATGCCACGGATGGAGGTAGAGCGACTGTGATCGCAGAACTTTCTCTCTGCCCTATTCTCTTCCCTCTCACCTTTACGCCCGTAGCTCCTCACGAGAGCGCGGAGCGGACAGCGGGAGCGGCAGACTGTGCTCATTTAGCCTATCTGTAAGTTCAGCTGGGTAACTCATCATGCAATAGATGTTTCCTTAAGAGAAAACGGCTGAAGCGGCTACGGCAGGCTTGCCCATTCCAGCACTTACACCCGATGGAACATGCGAGGCTTGAACTGCACCCTTGAATCCCGCGATAAGCCCTACGGTAGGGCTGTTGCCTGGCTATGCGGGCGCCATGTCGACGGCAACTAGGCTTTGGGTATTCCCAGAGCCAATCAGTGATGTGCGGTAGTCTTCTCAATCCCACGGCGGCAGAGGAACGTCGTTGGACGGAAGCTGGGGCTGAGTTGGAGGTTCCAAAGGGGTGTGATTCAGCGGCTGACTGTGCCTGATGCGGCCACCTTGGAGCATGTTCTCGCAACTTGCAGCATATACGCCTGTTTGAGAGTAACACTCCTGCAATCAAAAATGTGGCCATGTGCATCTTCTTGGGAGACTTGATGGCTGTCTGTGAGATCCACGGCGGCAGCAATATCCGTAGCGGCTTTCAGTGCCTTTGAGCGGCATTGCTGGCCCGACAGAGACTTCTCTTCTGGCGGGCTCCGAGGTTTGGTATGCCCGTCGACGGTACTGCAGACGAGAAACATTCCCAAAGGCGCCTTGGGATCGTAGATCGGCAACGTCCACAGACAATTAGCCGTAAGCCTTTGTCAGCGATCTCTATTTTTATGTGAGAAATGCATAAGCTTAAAGCGAAGCGGGATTTTTCCCGAATGGACGAATTCGATACGCTCGGGAATAGACGCGATCCTTTTGCCACTGAGCTCATGGCCTCTCTTCGTCTTTGTTTCGAGCTGTCGATCATGGTGAGAGGGTTGGGAGATGGACATCCGAGGACCTCCATCGTCTTTCTTTTTTTCCCCCCGCGTAGCCGCTCGCCTTCTGAGCCGCATAGTTTGATCTTTGATCGGTTGTCCGTCGGGAGGCATACGACGTTGATGATGCTACCATGGCCGACTGAGAACAGTGCTCAGATGCGAAGCAAAAGGATAAGCCTGCGAGCCTGGCTGATCGTTCGATTACGATAGAAAGTTCTGGCAGGTTCATCCCTCGAGACGGCATCCGACCTGCCGTCCAGTGTACCGTGCCCACCCCGCGTGCAACGAGCCGAGACCCGGTCAATCAGAGAATCGAGGGGTGGCTTCCTGCCACGAATACTGTGCAGTCGGAGATACAGCCCGGTCTACAGCGATGATTAGAGTTTAAAGGTCGCCGTTTCAATGGGTTGTCCACCACCGACGAGTCTGTGTCAGATTTTCTGGCTACCAACAAAGTTTTGCTGAACAGCCGCCTTCGGCACTACCGCGGCCAAATCAATCGACATTGCTCACGTCTGGGCTGTGGACATCGCATGAATATGCATTGGCATTGTGCGGGTGTTCAGTGACTTCAGCCTTACGCGAGCCGCTTGGATTCATTGGCGACAACACGGGTATTTTCTGCCCCGCTGCCACGCTGGATTTTCTCTCCAGATGTGCAGGTAGAGATCCTTGGAACGGTCTGTGATCATTGATGCCGGAATAATCACCGTATTGAGAGACGTCGACCATACGGATCTAAGCCAGCCAGTAGCGGTGAAAGCTTTGGTTGCATTGCTGAAGGAGTCGTTCGAGACAGGGGGGCCGGATTGGGACGCGTACAATGTAAGGTAAGCTTTGCTGGGTTGAGTTCTGGATCCAGCGTCTGAGCTCTGCGCAACAGACCCTCGGACGAGACGAATGAGACAAGACGTTCTGCTCTCGGAGAAGATCTGTAACCAGGGAGTTGGCATATTTGGTGGTTTTAGGGGTTTGACAACTGGCCAAGGCACTTGTGCTTCCACCATGTCGCTAAAAGGGATATTGCTACCCAAATATCTTTTTTCGTGCGTGTGCGCGTGCGTGGGAGTGTGCCAGTCAAGCCAGAATTTGTGAGAGAACGGCATTTCAGTCACGGCTTCGAGGAGTGACCTTCGCTCTTCGTACAAATCGAGATCGCACTGGCGTCGCCCACCAAAGCTGCAGTGCCTCTTCTAGGTATTTGCTTGGGAAGCCCGAACTGGGTACACAAGAAGCACCGATGAAGTGAGTATATCGCTGGTTAGTTGCTGGCCTCGCAGTGTGCGCAGCGAACCCAGGATATGCCAGGAGTAGATGCCGGTATGGTGGTGGAAGGGATCACTGGGCCGGGCTTGAATCGTCAGCCGCCATAGAGTCTTGCAGATCATTTCCAGCAATGGGGTTTGGTAGATGCCCATGGTGAAGTTTGAATAACAGGAGCGGTGAATCGTCCAATGTTTCCGATGGGCGATGCCCATTTCTTCGGCTGATCTGGCCGTAGAGCCACAGCTTGCCTTCCAGAAAGAGATGGCACAGTGGTCTTGAGTCAGGAGGTTTGACGGCATGATTGACCACTCCAGGAGTTCAGAGTCCAGGCTTGGGTTCACGAAAACGAGGCCAAGAC